ACGCCGGCGCGGTCGCCGCCGTCGCCGCCGCCAAGTGCTCTGCGGCCTTGAGATTCGAGTTTTGAGCCAGCGTCTTCAACCTCAACATTGTTGTGGCCATCCAAATCGGCCGCGGCCGCGGGCGCATCGCGACCGAGGAAAATCGTGTCGGATGGTGGCGACTGGGCCGCCGCGAAGTGGAGACTAGGTGGAGCTCCGTGGTTGGCAGAACAAAAGCCTTGTCGAGCTCCTCGGTCCCGACCACAGCAAGATGTGCTGTTTCCTATTCATACTTGGGGAGGTAGCCGGGCGCTGCTTTGGAGATCTCGTGGAGCATGGGCTCCAAGTGGCAGACGCCGTGGGGAGTGGTGCTGACCTTTCCGAAGCTGGCGCGCGCCCTGGCGATTCCACGTGCGACGACGGGACGCTGTCCACCATGGAAGAAGGGTCCCTCGCATGATTTTTTAGCGCCGAACACTTGATTGACACCGCGTGGTTGACCTCTCTGGCACACGACCAACGGGCAGTCATGGCGGACGTGCTGTTCTCAGCGTCAGTCGCATGTAAGGAGATCTGAGATAATGATTCTCAGCCAGTTCCATCATATCCATTGCCACAGGTTCTCTCTGTGGAGGCATGCCAGCACCACCATTACTCCACCGTGGGCGCAACACCTCTCGCTCCAACGGAGGCCATCGACGTCGATGAAAAAAGTAGCGCCTACGTGGAAATGCTAGCCCTGGACGAGTTGCACAAGCTTATGCATGATCATCCTGTTGCAGATGGACGCTGGGCAAGCCTCTGGGCCTATGCGGCAGGAGTCGAGGAGTCTGTGGTCGCGCGCGACATCGATTCATTCACTCCCGAAGAGTTTCGAGACTGCGCTGCAGCCGTGGTTGTCACTATGCTCCAGGAGCTGCAAGTGAGGGTGGATCGCATGCTGCTCGCGGCGCCCGCGCCGAGAAGCACGCGACATCCATGATTGCAGGTGGGTGGGCAAGTGGAGGTTGGTACGAAACCAAGCATACCTCTTTCAGATGATGCGGATCACCCGCGTGAGGCTGGCCCTTCGAGGCTTCAAGGGCGTCGGCGCCGACGCCATCGCCGCTTGCGCCAGCGACTCATCGCGAGTCCCAGCGCGCGATTGTCTCCGAGGCTGCCTGTCGGGGACGGACGATCGATGCGTGGGGCGTCAAGAAAGCCTGCCTGACATGCGACAGCTATCTGGAATTTGTGGAGGCCCCAGGCGAGGATGAGCGCGACGTCAACTTCGAGATCTCGCCCGACGCCGTCGCACTAACGCGCAAAGAAAAGGGGTGCGAGGATTTCGTTCCAGCGCCTGAAGTTCTCAACATGGAGGAACCCGGCGCTGGGTGCAAGGGTGTCCCGAGATGATGACCGTGCAAATGTGCCAAGCCATCCCCGGGCTGTATTACCGCCAAGCATCGGAAGGCGAGCTCGTTTCACTGGCCACCGATCACGTTGGCGACGACAAAGTAGCAGGACCACCGCAGGGAACGGCCAAATTACGTCAGTGTTTGGAGGATGCCTCTGGTAAAGGTGAGGTGGGCATCAGTGAAGGACATCTCGCATGCCGGAGTGTACTTCAATGCCCCGCGCGCGACGGCGGATATGAGTTGGGCCAGATCAAGTACGCAGAAGTCTTGAAACGTGTCTGAAGCACCGAGTAACTCCGAGACTGCCTCAGTGAGCCTGGCCAAATTGCTTTTCGGCCTGCTCATGGCACTGGCTTTTTGGCACTCATCGCTTGAATCGACCTGAACGCCTACGTGGTCGCGCTTCAGCGCCATGCGTGCGGAAGACCACCCTTCTCGTGAGATCAGCGCAACCCGAACCATCGCGAATCCAATATCTACTATGCGCTGCACAAAGGAGATAGACATGCACCACGACGCAGCATTCAGCAAAGAACAGAAGGAAGGCGCCGACGCTGGACGGGCCTTGCGAAGAGCCACCTTCCTGCGCATGGGCGGTACTGACACAGACACTCAACAGGCATTCGTTGGCAGACAACCGTGCCATCTAATAGACTGGCATTGTGGAGCATTCAAAACTATGACACTAAGCCCTTCCACAAGTGAGCTGATGGCCGTGATCAGCGCAGCAGATCGGCCTTGCTCCAGCCATCACGCTCCGCGAGGTACCCAGGGGACCCCGAGGCCCGGAAGCAGCACGTCGCCAACGAGATGGTCAGCAGCCGCTCGCGCTGCAAAAATTGAGCTCTGCCTGGACTCTGCGGGGGCGGCTACCGCTGTCGCGGCTACGAGACCCAGGCGCCCCGAAAAACACTAGTGCCGCGTGTGCTTTGGCTCCGCGACCTCCTGAGCTCGGGCCAACTCTTGGCCCTGAGCTGGGAGGGCATTCGAGATTTGATCGCGGACGGGCTGACCAGAGGCAGCATCGAATGATCTGCGCTCCACGACGCGGCCTGTGGCTCTCGCCAGCGACCGCGCGCGCCGCGCGCCGTCGCTTTCGCGCCGGCTGGCAAGCTCGTTGTGCTATCGGGCCATGGGCGCCAGCCGACTTGACAACTAGCAATCATCAGCGTGTGTACGTAACTCCCCGGTGCTCCATCTTCATTGAAACCAGCCGTCCCCCCTCGTCCCCGTCTCTCTCGGAAGGCCCCTCGCAGTGTGCGTGATGGTTGGGGGTCATGTTGCTGCGCGGCAGCTCGGGAAGAAGCATGTTGACAGTAGTCTCGTCATCGCAGTGTTCAGCAATAGCAGAGGCATGCATGTGGGCGCGCGTGTGCACGGACGTACGGGGCAAGGGAGTAGTCATGATTATCAGTGGTGAGCGTTTCTGATGCCGCTGTCGTTTCTCTCAGAATCAGGCCTACGCCGCCTGGTAGGAGCGCGCTGGGCCGCCGTTTGCGGCTCGCGCGCCGACGGGCACGCGCGCGGGCGCCCGACGCGCGTTGCCATGCGGTGGCGGCCATCCGCTGCCGCGCGCGCGTGCCAGCATGCTTCGAAGTATGCCGTCGTGGCCTCCTGGGCCGCCGCCGCCTTGTCGCTCTCGGACCGTGCCCTCTGCGTCGCTGTCGCCCACGGAGGAAGCGCCGTCACCAGGTTGGCGCGGCGATCGCAACGTCCACAGGTCGAGCCGAACCGCGTTTTCGATCTCCGACGCCCCTTCCTGGCACGTGGTCAACGCGTGGCATCCCAAAAGCAGAGCGGGTCACGACTCGCCCGCATGGCATGCCTTCGATGATGCCTCCGCCAACTCAGCAGGAGCAATCGCGTCAGTTACAGTGATAGTTGCAGCAATCCAGGGAGGACGGGAGCGTCCAGCGCATCACCTCAAACTCATCTGCCTCTCGAGGTCACGTTCGGGCTCGAGAGATTCTTCGGCCCCGTTATCGCCCGCCGTTTCCCCGCGGTCGCCGTGCCGATGTGCGGATGCTGCCTGCCAGCAGAGCCTCCGCGCCGACTCCGCTAGGCGCTCCGCCGCCCCCCGACGCGCCATCTTCGGCGCTCGCGGAAGGTTCGCGGCCTTTCGTATTCAGTCAGGGCGACGCCGAAATGGTGGAGTTCACCAAGGAGTGGCATGGCGCGTCGGTGACCCGACCCCCGTGGTGCTGATTCGTGAGAGCCCGTGCTCAGCGCAGGTCATGGAGCCGGGCTTGCGCGCGGGGTTCATCTGCGAGGCTCGCTGGGGCGTGGGCCAGTTGAACGGCGCGCGGCCGTTGTGCGACAGCGAGCCGCTCGGCATTGGCGTGGTCGCGCGCCGCCAAGCTGCGCGCCGCGTGGGCCTCGTGGGCTGCGCGACAGAGAGCGGAGTGCCGCCGCTACTGGGCGCTCGTCAATATCGGCTCATGGCGGGGGGTTCGGGCAAGCCCATTCTTTGGCTTTGGACGCGTCAGCCCTCGGCGCGCCCTCTTTCAAGTGCGGCCCGCTAGGCGCCAAAAGGCCCGCGCCGCCGACGCCGCGGCCGTCGCGCTCCCCGACGCCTCGGGGCGAGCGCGTGCCGCGCGCTCCTCCTCGTCGGCACCTCTCGCCAGAGACTCCGCTCAGGTCCTCGTCTCTGCCGTGGGGCCGCGAGGCGGAGTTCGACGAGGGCGGCGCTGCTCTCGGCTCGAGCCGGAGACCGACGCTGCCCCGTCCTTCGGCGCCGCGCCCGTTCTTGGCGGGGGCGGGGGCCGCGGCGCCCATCGGTTCTCGCGGGCGCGCCGCGGTCGCGTCGAGCGCGGGCAAGGGCAGGGGCAAGGGCGACGACGAGGGCAAGAGCGAGCCCGTGCCAGAGACCGACGTCGACCCGCCCAGCAGGGGTGATCATAATGATCATAAAAAGAAGACGCGCAAGGCAGCGGCGAAGGTCAACCGCTGGCGCGCCAGCGTGGCCCTCCGCGCGGCTGTCGCCTTCAAGCCAGGCCAGGTCTCGCCCGCGGGCAGTGCTGAGGCCGAGGGGGCTGATGCCCCCGGCGTTCCCAGCGAGGAAGTGGCCTTCGGTCGTGGCCAGAGTGGCCCCCGCAACTCGTGATTGTTGTGAGCCTCGAGGCGATCGTGCCAAAGAGGCGCGTGTCCCCTGCCATCTCCAGCCGTCGCCTTCTTCCTGCCAGGTCAGGGCGACGACGCGCCACCACCTCGCCCTTCGCGTGGCCCTGGGGCCATCGCTTCGCCTAAGTCTTAGGGCAGGCTTTCAGACGTCGCGCCTGCGGCCCGAGGTCACCAACATGCGAAGATGCGGCCTGGGAGAATTCGCGCCACCATCGCTGGCGCGCGCGGGCACCTCCAGTGCCACTCTCAAGAGCGCGAGCAAGCTACCCGTTAAAGTGGGTGAGCCCGCGCCCCGCCGCGTCGCGCGCCTCTGGGCCAGACAGCGACGGGGTATCCTTGCTGAGACTAAAATGCGCTGGGGTTGGGCAGTTCTGATTTCTTTGTTCCTTTGCTTTTCTTCACCGCCAGAGCTCTTTGATCGCCTGCGCAATCCCAATTCAAATCGGATGTTCAGCCGCCGTTTGGCTTCGGTGCTGGCGCTTGCCTGTATGGCGGCGCGCGGAG